CGTATGCCCGTCTTCATTAGCCCATTAGGAGCAGAACAGTAGAACCTTAAACCCCATTTCATTTCATTAACCCCGTTGGTGCATTTAGCCCGAGTTCAGACCATATTAATGGCATTATACTGGTACATATATGAAACCTTACAGGTTGTTGCTGTACTACATGTTGTAAGATTCTGTTCTATTTTTATATTTCAAGTTAGAAGTAGATACAGGATATATAACCAGGTGTTATTTTAGTTATATTCTACTAAAATACATTGTTTTACACTGGTTGATATATATATATACATACTACATATGTATAACATTGGATGCACGCGGGAATCGTAACTTCTTATTCCAACAGATCACTTCGTACTCAAAATAATCAGTCACTAGTTGTTCCAAGATATAACTTCGTCATGTGGATATAGGTCCATCGTTCCGGTGGTCCTATATTATGGAATCAACCTACATGTACCATAATAGATTAAGAATTAACAGACTTTTTAATCAATCTAAATCCACACTAAAAACTTTCCTATTTTGACAGTTTTACCAGTAGAGCCATTACTAAAGTGTTTTGAGCATGTGTCAACATGGATAAGACGCTGTATAAAACCTCATTATTATTATTATTCGCATTATGTTCTGTTAACCATTGGTGGGTTGGATGGTTAGCACGTGCGCGCTGTATCATAAGGCCTGTCATTGAGGCGACTGGCGTGGTTTCGAATCCCAGGTTATACGTGACAAGGAGTAGGGTCGCCTGTCCAAGCTTGTGGGTTTTCTCCGGGTCCTCCGGTTTCCTCCCATTGCTAAAGACCTTTACGCGCAAGCAAATTATTGAAATAAAAATAAAAACCATATGTTAGTCCCGAAATGACCTAGTTTGTGTCGAGTGGACGTTAAACCCCATTTCTCTCTCTCTCTCTGTTAACCACTGAGGGGAGTTGGGTTGCTGAATGGTTTCACATGTGCGCTTTAGATGTCTGTCATTGAATCAAGTGGTGTGACGAGTAGGTTCGCCTCGCCTGTCCAAACTTAAGGATTTTATCTGAGTCCTCAAGTTCCCACCCACTGCTAAAGACCCCTACGCGCAAACGAACAATTGAAATAGAATTGAACCATATGTTAGTCCCAAAATGTCCTAATGATAATAACAAAAATTATAGGATATGGCTACTTGACACAGTGAAAAACCAGGACATCCTAAATAATTCTTGAAATTCGTGATATTGCATAAAAGAAGAGGTTTTGGAAATTATTTCATGTACATAAAGCTGTCTAGAGGCTACTATGGCTACATCATTTCATTTTAATTGTGAATTTCATTCCTGATTTAATCATACAAGCATAAATAATGTACCTTTTGTTCAGTGGAGGGTTTTACTGTCTGGATTTGGTCAAACGTAGGTTGATGTTTGCCAGGAGGTATGTCATGTCATTAGGTGATGTGGTTGAGATATCAATCATTGTGGAAAATTCTACCAAACTTTGAATCCCTGGTTGTACGTGACAAGGAGTAGGGTCGCCTGTCCAACCTCGTGGGTTTTCTCTGGTATCCTCCCACTCCTAAATGCAAGCGAATTATTGAAATAAAATTAAAAACCATATGTTAGTCCCGAAATGACCTAGTTTGTGTCGAGTGGACGTTAAACCCCATTTCTCTCTCTCTCTCTCGTTTAGTTTTTTATAGTTCAAAATTTCGTTTTACTTGTCTTTACTACACTAGGATCTGGAAGAGTTGTTATCATTGACGTGTTCTGGATGATGTGAGGGATTAGCCAATGAAACGGTCTGTTACAGCAAGTTTTTGGCGTAAGGTGAAGGGAACTGTGGGTAACCCACCAAAACATCAACACTAATTGATTAATTAAATGTCTGACGTCATCGGGTCAAAAGCCGCTCATATGACCCCTGACACGACCTTCCACTACAACTGATCAGATCTTCATGTAGTGTAGGCCATCGAAAGTATAAAAAAACGAAACGTAAATATAGATCAGGGCCCTGTTTCACGAAATTTTAACTAAGATAAAATCCAAATTTTAGTAATTTGATTGGATAATATTAGATTGATTTTAGTGCTAAGCCAATCAAAATTGAAGTATCTACTAAAATTTGGATTTTATCTTAGTTAAAATTTCGTGAAACATAAATATAGATCTGTATCTGTATCTGTAGCCAATGATTGGCTATTGTAGATGAATACTTCCGGGTAATTAGCGTCGAGATTACCAAGTTTAAGATAAAGGATTAGCGTAGAGATTAAAATGTGGGTGTTAAATCCTGTCAATATTTAACAACAAACTAACATAATATAATAACTTGTTTATTACTAGAACATCTGTTACGTAGTTTGTTCAAGGTTTGTCACTTTTCGTATTAATCAATAATTAATCTATAAATTATGATCATTATTATACACTACAAAAAATTGTTGTATAAATCTTCACGTGTCAGTGTCCCCAATTTGTGGGGGTTGGATGGCTGAATGGTAAGCTCAGGCGCAACTGGCGTGGTTTCGATTCCCCTGTTTTATTTCTAGTATCTGGACTCCTTGACCGTATGGGGGTTGGATGGCTGAATGGTTAGCGTGCGCGCGCTGTATCATAAAGTCTGTCATTGAGTCGACTGGCGTGGTTTCGAATCCCCGGTTGTACGTGACAAGGAGTAGGGTCGCCTGTCCAACCTCGTGGGTTTTCTCCGGGTCGTCCGGTTTCCTCCCACTGCTAAAAACCCCTACGCGCAAGCGAATTATTGAAATAAAATTAAACCATATGTTAGTCCCAAAATGACCTAGTTTGTGTCGAGTGGACGTTAAACACCATTTCTCTCTCTCTCTCTCCCTTGACCGTATAGAGTCAAGTTCGTCTACACAGTATTGAAGGGTGTGGTGACTTGTGACTTAACAATTGTATGAGGAACAAAATGAAATGAAATGAAATGGGGTTTAACGTCCTACTGTTCTGCTCCTATACTGGGCTAATGAAGACGGACATACGCCATACAGTGTGCTATGAGGGAAATTTTGCCCGGGCAACGGCACTATCGCCTACTCTTATATCGAATTCCAACTGCCAAGGGATCTTTTACGTGCATTCAAATGTATACACGGACCTCGGTTTTCCGTATCATCCGAAGGACTAGACAGCTGTCCTTGTCAGGCCTTCCGTCTTGCATCACTGATAAGGGGAACCACACCGGAAAATCTGGATGAACTTTCTCGGCCAATGCAGGGATCGAACACCCGTATGAGTAACAAGATACTGTATATCACTAAGGATACTCCTGGGAGGATGTGTGTCTATATCTGGTACCAAGAAAGCTTTATAGTAGATCTGAACCATTTGAGAGAGGGCTTAAAAAATCGAAACTCGCAAGGTGCATTATTGCTTCCTCTTCACTAAGCCCCTTCCATCAGGCCTTCTAATTTCTTCACTCGACTACTAACGAAATCATTTAACAAAATAACATTTCCCGTTCATCTCTGTCTGAATGAAACAAAGTCGCTTGACACAAAGGTACAAAAATGTTTTATATATATGACAATAAAGCAACAGGTTAATGATCACACGAGGGTTAAAGATCATCTGTAAAGGGTTAATGATCACACAAGGGTTAAAGATCATCTGTAAAGGATTAATGATCACATGAGGGTTAAAGATCATCTGTAAAGGGTTAATGATCACATGAGGGTTAAAGATCATCTGTAAAGGGTTAATGATCACATGAGGGTTAAAGACCATCTGTAAAGGGTTAATGATCACATGAGGGTTAAAGACCATCTGTAAAGGGTTAATGATCACACGAGGGTTAAAGACCATCTGTAAAGGGTTAGTGATCACACAAAGGTTAAAGACCATCTGTAAAGACAAATTTGTGGAGAATTTTTTGGTGTGGCTATCTTATTCTTTCTTTTTCTTGTAACTATTTTTTTCTTTCAGTTTTTAATTTGTTATTAAAATAACTTTTGTTCAATTATTCTGGGATTTGTTCCATATAATGAATTTTAAAAATCAATTTTGATTAATTAACCTTTTTAGTGAATGGACCGCCCGCAGCAACTCCTCTCTCTAGAAACTGCTGACAAGGAGTAGGGTCGCCTGTCCAACCTCGTGAGTTTTTTTCTGGGTCCTCAGGTATCCTCCCACTGCTAAAGACCCCTACGCGCAAGCAAATTATTGAAATAAAATTGAACCATATGTTAGTCCCGAAATGACCTATTTTGTGTCGAGTGGATGTTAAACCCCATTTCTCTCTCTCTCTCACTTGAACTCTGTTCCATGACTCAGTCGATCCCCTCAATTGGCTGAGAAAGTTAATCTGGATTTTCCAGCGTGGTTCCCCCTTATCAGTGGTCCAGTATACACATTGGCATGCACGTAACAAAACCCTTGGCAGTTGGAATTCGATATAAGAGTAGGCCATAGTGCCGCTGTTTGGGCAAAATTTCCCTCATAGCACACTGTATGGTGTATACCCATCTTCATTAGCTCAGTTGGAGCAGAGCAGTTAGTAGCCCATTTCATTTTTGATCGTAAAAACCAATGATAAATTACTGAAATGAAACAAATTACATCATAAAACCACACAATTATCAGAAATAAACATTTATTTTTTTTGGAACAAGGGGGGTTAGATAGCCGAATGGTTAGCATATGCACGCTGTATCATAAGGCTCATCATTGAGTCAACTGGCGTGGTTTCGAATCCCTGGTTGTACGTGACAAGGTGTAGGGTTGCCTGTCCAACCTCGTGGGTTTTCTCTGGGCCCTCCGGTTTCCTCCCACTGCTAAAGACCCCTACGTGCAAGTGAATTATTGAAATAAAATTGAACCATATGCTAGTCCCAAAATGACCTAGTTTGTGTTGAGTGGACGTTAAACACCATTTTCTATCTCTCTCTTTTTGGAACAAATCTCAGTGTATTTATTTGTGTATTTGAAATGAGTGTATTTATTTAATAGAAATGTGTGTTGATAAATTTGTTACTACAATATTTTCAATTTTAACAGATGTTTTAGGTGATATTTCAACAGCTGATTTTTCGTTTTGTAAGTTAACAGCTATTGCATGACAATTATTAAATTTTACGATCATTAAATTTTGAATAGGATTTCAGCTTGTGTTGCTGCATTTCAGCTTTTTGATTTGAATTCCTTTATAGTTTGATGACAATTGTAGTTAAGGATTGGGAAAATGTTGGAAAAGTAATAAATTAAGCATTTTGATGATGATTTCAACAGTATTTTTGGTAAATGCATCAAGCATCCTAACCTAGCATCTAATACTGTAATTAAACATCTACATTGACTCATTGTACATGTAAATGCATTTTGTTTTTGTTGCGAGAGAGACTTAAGAGTGGTTCTTTATTTTAATGTAAGAATATATAATTGACAACCTTAAACAAAGAAAAGTGAATTTATTATTAATATGATTTGTCAAAATATTTTATTAACATCTCTCCCCCCTCAACAATATTAGTAATTATTTTATATTCCCCCCCCCCCCCCCCAAAAAAAAAAAACCACATAAGTAATTATTTTGTATTAATAATTTAAACAGAATTTTCGTTCTTTTTTTTTCATTATGTTATATCTCTTGTTTTTTTTTGTTTTTGCCGTTGCATTTTCAAGTTTACTAATTTCTGATCTGAATTGCAAGCATGATTGGTTTTGCTGAATGAATCCGTTGCATTGTACATTGATTTGGTTGTATTTTGTGTGCAGTCCAGAATGATTTGTGGTAATTAATCAGCTTGTCATAATACTAATAGCTGAATATACAGATTAATTTAGAAAATTTAAGAGTTGATGCTCCAATTCATGGATTATTCTTGAATAATTTAAGAATTAAAAGATATAGCCTAACACATACTTGAGAAATATGGAGGGTTGTAAGTTTTTATAGGTCCACATTTTCATGTGGACGTATATTGTTGTTGTCCCTATCCGTCCACAATTTGTTCATGGACAGTCTACGGGTCACAATTTTTATCAGACTTTTAACTTCCTGGATTATGGCCCCTGATTGTATGAAAAATCGTGTTTTTAACTTGTGGTTCCTCTATGTTTATATCTCAAAGACCTGGGCTCTCTTCTATATATCGGACTTTATCTTCCTGGATTATGGCCCCTGACTGCACGTAAAATTGTTTGTTTCTATTCCTCGGTTGTACGTAATAGGGAGGAGGGTCGCTGTCCAATCACATGGGTTTTCTCCGGGTCCTCTGGTTTCCTCCCACTGCTAATTATTGAAATAAAATTGAACCATATGTTAGTCCCGAAATGACCTACATGTAGATTTTGTGGAGTGGACGTTTAACTCTCTCTCTCTCTCTCTCTCTCTCTCTCTCTCTCTCTCTTAAGATCTAGTTTTAGAGGTACTAAAAAACTAATAATGTACTTGGCAACAGTTGATATCAATGTCCATTTAATAACACTAATTCAAGCCGACTAACACCTAGATAATACTGTGTGTTAGATGTTAACACTGTAGTGTTAGAACATATGTTACCATCGTGTACCTGTTTTTACCTGTCATCCTACCTGTTTGATACATTAACTGATAAAACATCTTTTCAATGGTTACTAACAGTGACGACAGTACTTCTCTCACTGGATTTGTTACCGACTAAATCTATTTGTTAAGACCAGCTCAATTTTTGTCAGGGTCGCTAAGATGCAAATAAGGTTAGGGCACGTGATTGTTGGCGAGATTATAGGTTCGAGTTTGGGGAAGCGTTGGGGTTAGGTCCAGGGTTAGGGTTGGAATTGGCACTAGCCCTGTTTACATCTCATAAGCTATGACGAAAAATTGAGGTTGGATTGGCGACCCTTCTCTTTGTCACCTACAACCAGGAAATCGAAACCATGCCAGATGACTCAATGACAGACCTTATGATACAGCGCGCACACGCTAACCATTCGGCCATCCAACCCCCATTTATTTCTTTGAGTCAAAATCTTATTTAAAATCCAAAAGTACTTGGTTGTGCTGTTCAAAAGCCTTTTTTTAATTTGTGAGTTTTGAAATTTTAAATAAAACATCTTTCATATTGTTTTGAGTGGCTATTTACCTATTAAGACGAGGGGTTTGGGTGGCCGAAAGGTTAGCATGTGTGCGCTGTATCATGAGGTCTGTCATTGAGTCAACTGTCGTGGTTTCGAATCCCCGAGTAGTGTTGCCTGTCCAGCCTTGTGGGTTTTCTCTGGGTCTTCCGGTTTCCTCCCTCTGCTAAAGACCCCTACGTGCAAGCGAATTATTGAAATAAAATTAAACCATATGTTCGTCCCGAAATGACCTAGTTTGTGTCGAGTGGATGTTAAACCCCATTTCTCTCTCTCTCTCTATCTATCAAGACCATGAATAACTGAAAATTAAACTGGTTTGGCCTACGGTTAGGTCATCATGATTTACAAAATAACTGTAGTATTAATGTCATGTACATGTTATGGTTGTATCTGTACGTTATGTATGATGAATTATGACAAAACTCTTTTATCTGACTGAAATAAAAAAAATTGTAACACGAAATTAATGAAAATGATTTATGATCTATGAGTTTTATAGTATTTATAAGTAATATCAATCTGTTTTGTTTTTTTAATCGGAAAAATATTCACTATAAATCAAATATGTCAAGAAAAAAATTCTGTTTGTCTTTACACAATACTTTGGTCATTTTGAGAAAAAGAAAGGCAGGAGAATTTTGCCTAGATAGCAGTTTTTCCATCGATTCTAGAGTCCGTGCTGGCTTTAATGATATTTCTTTTGGACCATGCCCAGAATCAAACCCATTCTGATCGAAAGTCCGTCATCTTTACTGTTTATCAAAGGCGTAGTTCATAAAATGGTAATAATAGAAGCATAGATTACTTTAATAAAACTTACTTTAAAGGGCCAGTCCTGGTATTATTGGAGAATAAAACTGCTTAATTTTGTGTTTAAATCGCTTAAAATCCTCTACCTTAGGGCCGAGCAACTAACTCAATATATGTGATACGTTTTCAAACAACTTAAACCCGTTTGTCTTCATCTGGAAATGGAGACCAGTGTCCCAAACTGTATTATGTGGTGTCTGGATAAAACCAGACTTCTATTTTATAAAAATAATGTGTAGGGGAAATTTACCTTCCGTTATCAAGTACAGCACATGGGTCATTCACTGTATAGATCTCTAAAGGAATGGAATCGATTATCAGGTAACTCAACGAAAAAATAAACCCAAAATCTTAAAAGAGTTACGTGTCCGGATAAGCAGTTTCAAATCAGGACAGTCCCTTTAAATGTGGGGGGGGGGCGCCGAATGGTTAGCACATGCACGCTGTATCATAAGGCCTGTCATTGAGTCAACTGGTGTGGTTTCGAATCCCCGGCTATATGTGACAAGGAGTAGGGTCACCTGTCCAACCTCGTGGGTTTTCTCCGGGTCCTCAGGTTTCCTCCCACTGCTAAAGACCCCTACGTGCAAGCGAATTATTGAATAAAATTGAACAATATGTTAGTCTCGAAATGACCTAGTCTGTGTCTAGTGGATGTCAAACCCCATTTCTCTCTCTCTCTCTCTGTCTCTTGCTTTAAATGTCTTCAATATTGATAGTGTGAATGGAAATACTGATATATAAAGCTGAAAATAGTAACTCATGAATAACTGGAGAGTAAAACTTTTATATGGCTGACCTAATTGTATAAATAAAGTGGCTAGTATTTGAATTGTGGAGGGAAAAACGTGGTGTAAATCCATCTGTTCTGTAAATACTCTCTCTACCTGTCGTCGTTTACTATAGTAACAAGATTTACCTGTACAATCTATATATAGTATACGTCACCACAGGTTGTCCCAGTTTTACCTGCAGCACACCTTATTTCTCTTCCACCACTTGCTGAACTGATAGACACGTGAAGATATGGGAAACAGGAAGAAGGCTGATAGCACTACCCCCGCTGCCCCGGAGGAACCGGTGGGTCCCCCTAGCCCATTCCAATGTGGTAGGTGTTAAAATAAATATTGAAAAATATTGGAATTCTGGTGATATTTTTTGTATCCTCGTGTTTTGATTTTTGTCAACATCTGTGTATCAGACCGATTACCATATGTGTAGTAAATTTATGTGTTAATAATATTGGTAAATAATTATGATGATTAAATAATATAATATTTATTTAAAAATTGATCAAACTATTAAAAATATTGAAAAAATATCCATAAATTACGTAGAAAATTACTGAAACATATTGCATCATTAGGCCATGTGGTTAACTAATTTTAAAAGATGCTTTTAAAATTTATAAAACAACCAATATGTTATTTACATCAGCGCATATGTTATGATCATTCTTATTGTAAGTTAGTTGTGTTTTTGAGGATTAATAAGATAAAATTGCTAGGAATATATTAAATAAAAAAAGATTGCATCATGAGTTGTGTAGTACTAAATCGAAAGTAAATATAACACGATACATCTAGTACTACTACTCAACTCATCAGTACCGTATATATGTGACATCCATCAATCATAGGTTATAGTTGTCTTAATATGAATAAATTCATTAATTTCTCTTTACCAATTAAAATACATATTTTTAAAATTTACATGTAAATAATGTAATATACATAAAATAAGTTATATACATATAGCAATCTGTTTAATACTATATAGTATTAGTAAGCCATATACTGTATTATACATAAAATGAATTATATAACAATTTATTTAATAGGCAAGCTGTAGCTTTATACTGTATTCTGGAATATACATAAAATAAATTATATAATAATCTGTTTAATATACATAAACTATACTGTGCATTCGGTTCGGTTTCCTCCCTTTGATAAAGACTCCTATGTGCAAGTGAATTATTGAAATAAAATTGTACCATGTAAGTCCTGAAATTACCTAATTTGTATTGAGTGAAGATCCTTCCACCCCCCCTCTCTCTCTCTCTCCCTCTGATATCAACCAAATGGTATGATAAAATAAATTGAATTATTTATATAATTCCTTCACATACCTGTAGTTTAGATTTTAATTAAAGCCGATTTTGTATT